CCACGCCGTCTGGACGCGAGCTGCCGCGCCTGGGTCGCGAGGTGGGCGCGAGGTCGGGGCTGGGCGCGCGCCTGGGCGCACGAATCGGCGCGTCTCTGGCTGGGATCGGGAAGCGGGCCCTGGGTTTGAGCGTACGGGCAGCACCTGGTCTTGGGTTAGGTGTGTGACCCTGTAACTCAGGCTGCAGCCGCCTGAAGCCGGGAGGCGGCGCCCAGAGTCTTGGGTAGTTCCGGGGCTGGGGCGGGAGGCCGCACGGGCTCGGGGTCGGTGTTTGCGATTGTGGGTGTCGCGGCCGCGCCTGAGGTTGGGGTTCGCGTACGCAGTGGGGCCGGGGGTGCACCTGGGGCACATCAAGAATGGGAGTGCGGGTTCACACCTGGGGTCGAGGAACCGCGCCTGGAGTCGGAGAAGGTCGCCCTAGGGCGGGGAACAGTGCCTAGGATCTGGGGAGCGCGCCCTGGCGGTTTCGGCCTCTGGAATCGTCTGGGCTTTGAGTGGGGGGCGTTGTTTCTGGATAGAGGGCTGCATCTGTGCTCAGGGAGCTGTGCGTCTGGGGTCTGGAGAGTCGGGCTGGGGTAGGGAGATGGTGTCTGGGGTCTGGGAGATCACCCCTGGGGCTGGGGGCTTGTATCTGGGGTCTAGAGGTCGCTTCCTGGGTAGGGGGATCGTGTCTGGGGTTTGGGAGGTCGCGCCTGGGGTAGGAGACCGTGCCTGGCTTCCGGGGAAGGAGCCTGGGTGGAGGGTGGGTACGGCCATCTGGGGTTACCTGGGCTCCGAGAGGGAGGTGTCACGCCTCGGGACCCTGACCAGCCCACGAGTCTCGGGGCCGCCCGACGGCGGAGGCGACCCGCAACGCTGTTTGTCGTTTTAGGTATCTAAAGGAGTTTAGGACAGAGCAGTGCCCCCTGTTTGTGCAGCACAAGTGCAGCCAGCACAGGCCATTTACCTGTTTCCATTGGCATTTCCTAAACCAGCGCCGCCGCAGACCACTCCGCAGGCGCGATGGCACCTTCAACTACAGCCCCGACGTGTACTGCTCCAAGTACGACGAGGCCACCGGCCTGTGCCCCGACGGTGACGAGTAAGTGGGGCTCCTGTGGGCCACCCGAGGGCGCCTCTCGCTGAATGGGGTTTTGAACCTCAGTATCAGCGGCTCATGTGGCATTTTTCTGTCTGTAGGGAATGTATTTACAATTCTTTCTCTGGTGATGGGGTGTCAGTTACCCAGTTTTAAGCCACTTTGGGTTTTGGGTTTTTTTTTTGTTTTGTTTTCTTGTCTTTTTGAGACATGGTCTGGGATTTGTAGTTCAGACTGCCTTGAACTCACTTTGTACCCCAGGCTGGCCTCGATGTCTAATGATCCACGTGCTTCAGTCTGCCAAGTGCTGGGATTACAGGCTGGCATCAGCACACTCCGACTGTTTTTGGTTTTTTTGAGACCAGGTCTCACTATATAGTTTGGGTTGGCCTTGCACTCATTACTGTATATAGCCCAGGCTGACCACTAACTTGTAGGGATCTTCCTGCCTCAGCCTCCTGAGTGCTGGGATTACAGGGATGTGCCACCACACCCAGCATAGGCCGGTTTGGGAGGGTTATGTGTGTTGTAGGGACAACTCTTGTATTGTTAAAGGCAATTTGACTTCATTTCCCACTCTTGATTTCTAACTAGTCCATAAAATTTCCTTCCTTAGAGCCACCCCTTAGGAGATACAACTCTCAGGTTTAGAACCACTTTGCAGGGGTTGGAGCATGTGCTAACACTATAGAAGTGGTCCTTAGTGTTTCCCTTTTTTCTGTTTATGTATTTTAATTTTTAAGAAAATTGATAGGAAAGTGATCTTATTTGCGGACTGTTATTTACATAACACGTTCAGAATTTAAGGAATCAAGTTTTTTTTTTTTTTTAACAAGTTTCTTGATCATGTCATCAACAGATGTCTTTATTTTGAAGTACAAACACAGGGAAAATGCAAGTCAGACCGTATTCAAAAGAATGGTGGAGCATGTTATCAGGAGGTTTTACTTTCTTCCAGTGGGCTGTTTGGGAAAAGGAGAGGTAGCTCAATCATACCTAGAAGTGAGGTGGCAGGCGCACTTAGAAGGAAGGGATCTTATTTTCGAGTGCCATTGATTTTTTTTAACAATACTGGCAGTTAAGCCGCTGATCGACATTACCAGCCTATTTTACTTTTCATTTTAAGGCAAGTAAGTTGCCCAGAATGGCCTTGAATTTGCAGTCACTTCTGTCTCAGCCTCTTGAGTAGCTGGGATTACAAGTGTGTGCCACCATGCTTGGCTCCAGTACCCTCCCTTTTGAAGACATTTATCATCCTGCTGCACAGGAAATCCCAGTGTACAGTCTGTTTTCTGGTATTTTTTTTTTTTTTTAAACTTAGACTGAGTAAACTTTTGATTGTGAGCATCTTAAAAATTGGTGTTTTTTTTTTTTTTTTTTTTTTTTTGTGGTACCAGGGATCGAACTCAGGACCTTGCGCTTGCCAGGCAGGCGCTTATGCCACTGAGCTATATCCCCAGCCCAACATCTTAAAAGTTCTAACACTCCCTGGCAAGGTTTTTAGTGGATATCAAATGATTATATAGTTGCCACTAACACACCTTGAAGCCTAAGTTCAAAAATAATGTAGCCAAGCCAGGCATGGTGGTACACTCTTGTAAATGCCGCACTCTGGAAGGCAGGAGGATCACGAATTCAGATGCAACCCAGAAGTGGGTGTGGTGGCACAGGCAGGAGAATCATTGCAAGTTTGAGACCAGCCTGGGCTACAAAGTGAGCTCAAAGCCAGCCTGAACCGCATAGCAAGACTCTGTCTCAAAAAAAAAAAACCCAAAAAACAAACAACAACAACAAAAAAACAGATCCAGCCTGGGGAACTTAGTGATTCAGCAAGACCCTATTTTAAAATTAAAATAAATAAATAAAAGGGATGGAGATGTAGCTCAGTGTGAAGACCTGGGTTCAATCTGCAGTGCCACCAAAAAAATAAGTAGCCAGCTCCATTTTCATTAAGATGGTGTTCTGTTAGAACTTTGTTATTTAACTGCTTTTTGACCTACTGCTTTCTTTGTGTGTGTGTGTGTGTGTGTGTGTATGTATGTATGTATGTATGTATGTGTTTTGTTTTGCTTTGTTTTGTGACAGGATCTCATTATGTAGTTCAGGCTGGCCTTGAACTCACTATGTGGCCCAGGCTGGCCTTGAACTCTTTGTCCCTCCTCCAGCTTCATCCTGAGTGCTGGGATTATAGACCTGTGCCACCACACCTGTTTTTAGCTACTGCTTTCTAAAAACACTTCTTTAAAGGTTACTGTCTAGCTGAGGCCTGGTTACAGGTCCCAGTTTCCCCTGGTCTCTTGGTTACCTTGAAACTACTGCTGCCTGAGCCTGGAATAGGGGTCCATGGAAGTGTGAAGACTAGTACCTAGCTTGTTAACCCATCCAAGATGGATGTGAGGACTTTTTAGAGTATTCTCTTGTGATTTTGTTTTGTTTTGTTTTGTTTTTGAGGGTTTCACTGTGTATCCCAAGCTGGCCTCGAACTTGCATCAGTGTTCCTGCCTTTGCCTCCTGAGTGGTGGGGTTACAGGCATGGCTCTGGTGATGCTTTTAACACAGAAAATCTCCCTCACTCTTTTTGTTTTTAGATAGGGTCAGGCTGTGTAGTTTAGACTGGCCTTGAACTCACTGTGTAGCCCAGGCAAGTCTCAAGCTCTCTGTGATCCTCGTGCCTCCCAAGTGTTAGGATTATTGGCGTGTGCCACTGTGCCTGGCTCTGTGTTACTTTTTGTTTTCTCCTCTTCCTCTCTCTCTCTTTTTTTTTTTTTTTGTTTAGTACTGGGGATTGAACCCAGAGCCTTCACACTGAGCTACACCTCCAGTCGTCCCCCTTTTTCAAAATTTTGAGACAAAGACTTGCTAAGTTGCTAAATTGCCCAGGTTAGGCCTATACTTGTGGTTCATCCTCAGGCTCACAAAATACTGGGGTTACAGACATACATCACCATGCCCATTTTTTGTGGGTTTTTTTTTTTTTTTTTTTTTGTCTTTTTGAGACAGGGTCTTACTATGCAGTTCAGGCTGGCCCTGAGCTCACTTTGTACCCCGGGCTGGCCTCAAACTCACAGTGATCCTCCTGCCTTAGCCTCCTGAGTGCTTGGATTACAGGCGTGTACCACCATGCCCGGCATTTTTGTGTTCTGCTTTTTTTTTTTTTTTTTTTTTGAGACAGGGTTTCACTGCAGTTCAGGCAGGCCTCAAACTCAGCACTATCCTCCTGCCTCAGCCTCCTGAGTGCTGGGATTACAGGTGTGGGCCATCATGCTCAGTTTGGTTTTATTTTTTTGAGATAGGGTCTCACTGTATAGTTCAGCTTGACCTTGAACTCACTTATGTAGCCCAGGCTGGCCTGAAACTCAGAGATCTTCCTGCCTTAGCCTGCCAAGAGCTGGTATCACAGACATGTGCAACCACATCCAGCTGTTTATTTCTGAGACAGGGTCTTGCTATGTAGTTTGGGCTGGCCTTGAGCTCACTAAATTGCTCAGGCTGGTTGGCCTCAAACTCCTGATTCTCCTTCCTCACCTTCTCCCAAGTAATGAGATTATAGCTGTAAGCCATCATGTCCAGCAGCTTTCTTTCCTTTTCTCCCTCCCCTCCCCTCCCCTCATCTCATCTTGTCTCTTCTCTTCTCTTTTCTTTTCTGAGACAAGCTCTCACTATGTTTCCTAGGCTGATCTTAAACTCCTAGGATTTTAAGACATCCTTCCACTTTAGCCTCCCCTATAACTGGGACTCTAGGTCTGCATCAGCATGTCCAGCTGTAACTTATCTCTTCAAAAGCTGTTTTGGATTCCAAAGCTTGGATGTCCTGATATTGATTCAGCCTGTTCCTGCCCATTCAGATGGTTTCCAGATCTTACTTGGATAGATGGTACTGCAGTGAACATCTAGCTATAGGTAGTCATCTTCAGCTGTACTCAAGAAGTAATTAAATAATATGAAATAATTACAGACATACTAACACGCAGCCTACATGGCTTGCAGCTTATCATTGAGAAACAAGCAGGACTAGAATGTTTGTTTGATATTTTCTACTTGAATACATCCTGTATATATCTACAACTAGTGAAAAGTCACATGTCTGTATTTTTCTTAATTAAGCTTATTGGACCTACCTCTCTTTAAAGATTTTGTTTGTGACTTTTATTGAGCACATGAAAGGACTCGATTCAGCCCTTTATTAAGTATTTGGCAGGCTGCCTCCCCAGGAATCTGTCCTTGGCTATTTCTGCACCTTTCCCGAAAGAGGTATTTTCCCATCAGTGCAAACGTGAAATATTGAGTGTGTCCCACAGAGTTACATCATCTGGTTCATGAATGGTTACCTTGGAAATTGTAAATGCATACTACCTTTCAGTTCTCTGGTTCTTGAAACTTTTAATTTGGGTATATGTACTGTCAGCCCATTGTTATCATTATTACTATTGGTGTACTGTAGTTACATCCCTAGCCCACCACCCCTTTATTTTGAGACGGTGTCTCACCAGGTTGTTCAGGCAGGACTTGAACTCGCAGTCCTTCTGAAGCCTGGGTTTACAGGCATATGCCACCTGGCCTGGCTCCACCCTGTTATTTCTTTCTTTCTTTCTTTTCTTTCTTTTCTTTCTTTTCTTTCTTTTCTTTCTTTTCTTTCTTTTCTTTCTTTTCTTTCTTTTCTTTCTTTTCTTTCTTTTCTTTCTTTCTTTCTTTCTTTCTTTCTTTCTTTCTTTCTTTCTTTCTTTCTT